AAGGCTGAAAAAGCTGAGAGTAAAAAAAAAAAGTCCATTCAGGAGTGCAACACAAATGTTTCAAGAACATACACTGAAAATGAAATCCGCCAAAAGAACCAAGCAATTAATCTCTACGGCAGGAGTGCTAGGGTTGATGCTGTGGGTGCAAGGATTCAAACTGCAGGAACGAAGGGCAAGAGAACAGAGGCCGTGGCCACTGCGGTTAAGTGTATGGATGCTACACTGAGGGGTATGAACCTTGTAAGATTCCTGCCCTGATGGACAAACATTAACACCAATGCACAATGCTGGATGTTTCAATGCAGCAAATGGTAGGCTCAGGAGCGCCACTGCTCTAACAATACTGCAGTGCTGCAATACCCGTATGTTGCTGCAAGAAATGACCCACGAAGCTGGCCTTGATCTCCACATACAACCAGTTGCTTCCGAGGGAACGGGATGAGCTATCACAGCCTGGCTCATGATCAAGAGTAATGTAAAGAACAGGTGCTTCTGTTAATCTCACTTGCTTCCGAACTATGTTGTGTGTTTATATAGCTAAGCTACACTTCAATTACACTAAGAACACTGTGCATGGCCTGAAAGCTTAGACACTATTTGTGTGGAATGCTTTCTCCTGCCTTGCTGCACTTCCTAGTACATTAAGAAATTCCAGGGAGTCTTCACCTTGACAGATTTTATGGTTGGTTATATGTAAAAGCACAGGGGCATATTTTTGTAGACACCTTTGACAAAGCTAGCGTTAGCTTGTTACATATGAGACATCTTTTCTCAAAAGCTACATCAACTGTATAGCACCAAAGTACTACAGAATAAAGTATAGAATAAAGGTTTTGGGCTTTTTCAAAAAAGACACAATCTCTGCTCTCAATGAAAAAGAAAGCCCGCAGTTTTAGAGCACACTACTACATGATAAGCTGTCTAAATACATTAATTCAGTGAATGTTCACAACTCCGTGAGAAAAGCAATGATATTTGTTTTGCAGATGAACCAACCAAGGCTTTCAGAGGTTGGATAACTCATCCAGGATCTACAGTAAATAAGTAGTAGAACAGAGATTCAAGCCCACATGTATTGGGCTCCAGACCCCACTCTTTCCACATTCCTTACTGATACTCCCGTTGAACAAATAAAGTGAAGGTATATGAACATTTATAAATATTAAGTTCCAAGTCAGACAATACTGGAGTGACAGAAGAGTTCTAAGGACTGAGGGGTGAATGCAGTCCACTATTGCTAGTCAGTTAGGAAGGAGGAAGGGCCTAGAGAATGGGAGACAATCTGAGAGGTAAGAGATGGATAAAGTGGAAGAATAAAAGAATGAGTAAAGGACCAAATTTAGACATATTCTACTGTCTTAGAAGTGTTAAGGAAGGGGTGCCTGGGTGGCTCAGTCGGTTAAGCGTCCGACTTTGGCTCAGGTCATGATCTCACGGTCCATGGGTTCGAGCCCCACGTTGGGCTCTGTGCTGACAGCTAGCTCAGAGCCTGGAACCTGTTTCAGATTCTGTATCTCCCTCTCTCTCTGACCCTCCCCTACTCACAGTGTCTCTCTTTCTCTTTTAATTAAAAAAAAAGTGTTAAGGCAAACCTGGAAATGAAGCTAGAATGGTAGACTGAGGCCCTGAATCCAGGCCAAGGAGTCCAGGGATCTCTGAAGCCAGGATGGGAGGAGGGCACTAAAGGAATTGGGTGGCTGTTTGTTGAGCATCTGACCCTTGATTTTAGCTCAGGCCCTGATCTCACAAATGGTGAGGTCGAGTTCCTCATCGGGCTCTGGCTGACAGCACGCAGAGCCTGCTTTGGATTCTCTCTCTCCCTCTCTCTCTGCTCCTCCCTCTCTTAAGCACACGAGCACTCTCAAGCTCCCTCCCCCAAATAAATAAACATTTAAGAAAAAGAAACATAACATAGTTGGAAAATGTCATTGCAACAGGACAAGAAAGATACAGACGCAAGGGCCTCCTGCGAAGGTGAAACGGGGAACTGACCACCATGTCACTCAAGCCAATGGGCGACTCTTCAGTCCTCACCTTTTGAGCCCATTTAACCTTGAGGGTTCACTCCCTTCTCCTGGAGACTCTTTCCTCACTAGGCTTCTAGGACTCATCTTTTGCATTTCTTCTCACCTCACTGGCCACACCCAGTCAGTCTCCACTGCTGACTCCTCCTCTTCCCTGCTGGGATGGCGGCTCCCATGGCCATCTGCTCTATCTGCATATGCTCCCCTGCTGGGGTTACTTTAGTTATCCTGTTTTAAATACCATCTATGTGCCAATGATTCCCAATTTACTTCTAAAGCCTAGGTTTCTCTTCTAGATTCCAGACTCATATACCTACACCATCCCAGATCCTTGACATTAGGTAGTATATCACCTCCTACTATAATATATAATTTACTTAATTATTACATTTGCTATTTTCTTGGTCCCACTACCCTGCTAGGATGTAAATTCCCTGAAGACGGGATTCTTTGTTTTGTTCACTTGTATTTTAAGTGCCTAAAATAGTGCCTCGGACATAGTAGGCACTTGGAACGTAGTTGTAGAATAAATGAGTAAAAGGGAGGGGTAAGGCAGCCTCAAGTCAGTGTACCATAAACAAGGTACCATGAACAAGGAAAAGCAAGTTGTGAAAGATCTGAGGGGAGGATTTTCACTTTGCCACGTGGTATCTGAAGTGACAGATGGGCATTTGGGTGGAAACATCTGGTAGGATTTTGGAATTCTGGGGCCAGGGTTTATTATTATTTCTTCATCTGATAAGAAGGGTGAGCTGTTTTGAGGATTAAATAACGTAAGACTAGCAAGTCCCCTGACACACGTAGTTATACTCACCCAATACTCACCAAGTACCTGGGTCCTAGCCAAGTACCCAGGACCGTGCACACCATGTAGCTCAGCCACACATCCCTGTGCATACACCTTTTCACTCACACACTAGGTGCCCTGGGAATGGAACCCTCCGCCATTGGCCCTCTTTGAGGTTTGCCTCCATTGAAAAACTGCTTGACTCAGGATCCCGCTTCTTTCCAGGGCAGCCCTAGCCCAAGGACTGATCGCTGTGAGGACACAGAGGCCGAGGCCTCTCAGGCAAACTCGAGACAGCTCTGGAAAGCCACCCCACCTCCAGGGCTCCCAGGTGCTGGCTGAGAACTTTACTGGCCGCTCAGCCTCTGCTCAGTCCTTTACCTTCCTCCCTCCCTAGGTGGAAGTGAGGAGCCCTCCCCAAAGAAATCACCCACTGGCTAATCTCCATTTCACAGTCAGCTTCCTGGGAACCCAGCAGGGGGCAGAAACAACAACCAAAAGAGCTCTGGGATTCTTTCTCACTGAAGTGCAGAGTAAACCCAAACAGACCTGGAAGGTATGGTTTGACAGGAATTGTTTTCTCAGCAATAGGTTTTCTAGGTCTTCAGAATGCAGTGTGGTTAGTCTGATGCCACAAATAAAGGAGATGCCAAATTTAACATAGGGGTTCTGAACTTGGGACTCATGAATAGAATTCAGAGGGTCTGTTAAGAAGGGAAAAGAAATTTTATTTTTATTTTCCATAATCCCTAACGTGATATTTGGCATTTCTTTCCATTATGAATGCAGGCAACAGAGCATGGTAGTAAGAACTCTTGATGACCTTGTCACCGGTAGGAGTCACTGATATTCTCATCTCACATTTTAGTCATTGCGGGTGTCTTCAAATACTGTTCACAGTCCTCATGATCTTGAAAGTTCAGTAATTATGGGACCCTCCCCCATCACTGGATCCACTGTTACACCTGACATTTAAAATGGCTAAAAACACCCGCATATATTTCTTCATACGATTTTTAATATTTGTATCCGTATTTGAGCACAACTGATTTCCTTGGCAATCCTGCGGATTTTATTCTGTGTAATTAAAAATCTTATTCTAAGGGGGCTGACAGGCTTCACCAGGCGGCCCACGGAGGTCAACCAACAAGGGCATTACTCTCTGTGGGTGGAGACTTGAAAGACTCCTTCTTTTTAGGCGAAGCCTACAGGCTCCACGTGGGTGTCGTCCAAGGCGCGGTTTGCACCGGCCAGGCGACGAGCACAGCCATTTCACGGGCAGGACCGGCTCCAGCCGCTGTTTGTGCTGTTCCCCCCACTTCTGGAATGCGCACGGCTTTATATGAAATCCACATGGTGCGCGGCTGGGGAAGGCGGCCGCACGGAAGGACTTTACCAAGTTGACAGCGTCCCCGGGCCCGGCCAGTTCTGAGAAGGCGCCCGAGAGCTAACGGCCACCGGGGCCCGCTCCCCACTTGCCCCCACCCCCACCCCGATGGTGAGAATGCTCTGCTACAGGAAATTGGATCATCGGGTCGCCCAGCTTAACGGCGCCAAACTCTGGACTGAAACGAGCTCGACTGGAGAGCAGAACCATTGCCAAGACATATCCGGAGTCCACGCACACGCATGCAGGCTGTCGGCTAAATTCCCGGGGCAGAGGCCGGCTTTGGCGGTCTTTTCCTGCCCCGGCACCTACGGAAGTCCCAGGGCCCGCGAGCCGCCGGCGCCGCAGCTCCGGCCCTTCCCCGAGTCCCACCGGGCCGGGTCCCGTCCCCAAAGGCACAGGACAATAGACGCGGACCGACTTCCCGGCGGCGATGCCGCCCCCAGCCGCGGGGGAGTAAACTCCGCCCGGGGTGCCGGGGTGCCGGGGTGCCGGGGTCGGGAGGTTGCGCGCGGAGCCGCGCGGACGGGACGAGCCCCCCAGGCCCGCGTGCTCCGCGGGCGACAGGGGCCAGACGGTGCGGAGGCGTCGGCGGGCCCCGCGGAGCCAGGAGGCCAGGACACCCAGCGCCGCGCCCCGCGCCCCCGCGCCCCGCCGGCCCCGGTCCCCGCCCACGACGCCCACGTCCGTCCGGCCCCGCGGGCGCCCCCGGCCAGCCTCGGCCTTCCTTCCGACGCGGGCTCGGCTCCCACGCCCTCCGCCCCGACGGCCTCCGCCGCCCGCCCCGGGTCGCACTCACGTAGACCGAGTCGATGTCGGATTTGTCGAAGAAGCGGAGCGCCTGCCTCAGCTCCAGGGCTGGGGAGACTCGGTCATCCCCAGCCTCCAGCTCCAGGTCCCCGTGTCCCGGGCCGAACGGAAAGAGCTCCTGGCGGCTCAGGCAGCCCCCGGGCCCCGCCAGCAGCAGCTGCAGCAGCAGCGCCCGCGTCCACGCAGCCCCGCTCCGGCGGATCGCGGCCAGCATGTTCACGAACTGCTGTCCCGCAAACCTAGCGGCTCTGCGGACACGGCTGAGGAAGGCGGAGACGTAACCGGACGCCCCTCGGCAGCCCCTCCACGCCTCCTGCCTGCCTCCCGACGATCCCACCCCTGGAAACAGGGGAGGGGAACAGGGGAGATGGGGAGGGCCCCGCCCCGTCCACAGGGCGCGCCGCCGAGGCTGCCCAATGGCTGCGAGGGGGAGGGCGAGGGGCGACACTGAAAACCCCCGGCGGTTCCGGCTGCGTCACCCTCGACCCCTGCGTGGTCTTGGGCGCTGATGGCCGAGTACCCGAAACCAACCTCCGAAGAGCAGAGCGCGGGGCTTTGCACCACTGTCCTCGGCTCGGGTCAGGGCTAAGTGGGAGGGCGGGCTACGTGGAAACGCTCAGGATTCGGGAACACAGTCCACTCCTGCTCGGGGGCGTCCGGAGGTCGGACTCACCGGGTCACACTCTGGTTGGAGGAGGGGTAGGAGCTGGGAATTATCAAGTAGGGACTGGACCAGGAGCATGTTCCTGAACACATCCGTCCAGTTTTCCAGCGTTATCGGGTGAGGGATCCTAGCCTGGTGATGTGGACATTCGGCCAAACATGGGGTCCTACCCTCCAAGACAAACTCACAAGGGTGTAAAATAATTCAGTGTTGGGTTGGGTGGGATGCCCCAAGGGCTAAAGGGCATTGGGGCTGGAATAATTGCCCAAGGAGAGCTTCCTGGGGGGTGTGGGAAACAAACTGAGTCCTCTGGAAGGCATGGAATTTCATCAGGAGGCTGGGGAAGGGATGGTCTGGAACGTGGAGCCAAGGTGCCATCCGCCAGTTGAGAATTTGGGAAAAGAAAGTTGAGAATTTGGGAGGAAGGCTTAATACCAAACCTAGGAATCTGAACTCACCCTAACACTCAGAGGATAACTATTGAGAGTTCTTGACAAAGGGAGATAAGTGGTGTCCTGACCAATGGGTTGATCATTAATTTGTCACGGGTTGAAAGTAGAGACAGGAGATCCAGGACTGTTGAAAAGGAAAATGGGAGGGGGAGGGGAGGATGAGAAAGGAAAAGGTGGAACTGAGAAGAACTGAATCTAAGAGGCATCACAATGAACGAAGGAATGAGACCTGGTTTTGAATTTGATATGGGGGTTGGAGAGAGAACTTAAAATTCTGTGTAAGGTTTTAAGCCTGGAGGATTTCCAAACACTGCTGCCTTTTGAAGTCAGGGAGGAGGACCCAGCACAGTGGGTGTTGGATATGCGGCTGGCAGACCTGTTAAAGCTTGGAGGGTCAACAGGGCATTTCTCTTGCCTGTTGCCAACTAAAATTAAGGACCTAGGACCCAATTTGAAATAACTCTCCCAATAAACAGCAAATTCAATGTAATATAAGCAGCATGAGTCCTGAACCGGTAGAAAACATAAAAAGCAAATGAAATCCTCCCTCTGAACATAAAATCTTTGATCTACTCTCGACATCTTTTTCCTTTAACTTCATTAGCCATCAGAGAAAATATTAAGTTTCTACAGGTATTAATTGGCTTTGCAACCACAGTAACTTTCAGAGACAGAGAACATCCCCATTTTACGAAAGAGGGGCACACAGATTCAGAGAGGCTTATATCATTCTGCTAAGGTCACATGGCTGGAAGCCCTCAGGTGACCCAAGCTGGTTGAGGACCAGCTCCAGGACAACCTTAACCACTATATTAACCTGAAGCAATACATGGCTTCTGTATTACTGTAGTTATGTTTTATTTTTGTTGTTGTTGTTTGTTTAGTTTTGGGGGTTTTTTTTGGTCTTGTTGTTAAAATGACTAATGCTGCTTGCAATCTGTGGCAATCCAGTGGCTTTCCTTCAACTCCCTCCAGGAACTGCCATGCACTCTGCCTTGGTTCCCTGCCCCAGAAGCACTTCCTGACTACCCCCTGCCATTCCTAGCTTCAGCTGCTGCCCCTCTGGCTTCCAGGCCCCAGCACTGCCAATTCAAATTGCCAGGAACTCTGTCTGGAGGCTCCTCTCCTCTCTCTGCTTACCTGCACACAGCATGGGCCCCCAAACACCCAGCTCGCTTTTTCCTTCCTGTGCCTCAGACTCTCTCCTCCTTCAACCCCCACCCCACTTTCTGCCTCCCTTCAGAGCTCCGCTGAAGCTGTTGCCTGTGCCTGGAATGCTCTCACCCCTCTCACGAATTCTCTCCGTTTTTGGTACTCAGACAGCGTCTGAACTTCCTATTGGTTCACGGAATTTTCCTCCGCTAATAGAGGAGCAAGAGCAGTTCTCTTTACTGGTTCCAAGTACCAAGACCATTAAGACACGATCCCTTGTGTGCATCCCAGCAACATGGTGGGATGTTAACTAGTTTTAACAGAAGTAATACTAGTAACAGTTGCCAAAGTTAGTAGCTTCGAGTAGATGTGGGGAAATGAGATTTGCTGAAGTCAGATAATGCGCCCAGTTCCAGAGTGGAAGAGCCGGGACTTGAATGCTTTCATATTTCAGTGTATCTGAAACCAAAGCTAATATTCTTTCTTCCACACCCTCTTGCCTTTCTATAAAAGGAGAGGTTTCTCCCTCAGTTTCCAACCACCAGGTATATCTGCTCTGTTGTTTATACATAATGTTCATGCTCTATTTATATATGCTTCTGTTCACTTATTTCATCAGTATGGTCTTGCTCAAGTAAGTCTCGTGTGTACTGTAAACTGTCTGTCGCCTTCTATTTATAGCCCTGCACTCAGTGAACACTGCTTGGGGCTGGGGAATGTGACATCTACGTTGTGCCTCTGCTATAGGACAATGTGGGCTGGATGCCAGCCACACACTAGGGTTTCTAGTTTTAAATACATTTCAATGCATAATCTTCATCATAGAATTAATTTTATGTTGTACCCTGGTCATTTCGTAAGTGTATATAATAATTAAATATTTTTCTCTAGTTGTTTTGAGTGTTTTTTCCCCGATATAAGCTCTTTGGGGAAAGGCTCATGTGTTCAGTTATTTTCCAGAGTCCCCAGAGCCTCACTAATGCTGTGTGTACATTAGTAAAAGTTAACAGTTTGAAAACTCAATAGTACTTTTAAGAACTATTTGATATCTGCAGTAGCATATGAACCCACAATGACACATTATACCAGATTTTTTTTTTTATCGTTTTTTAAACCTGCCACTTTAGAGATGTACTTTTTCACTGCTGTCATCCGGGCGAGACAGGAAGACAAAATTCAGGAAGCAAGCTATATCTATAAGAAACCAAGTTAAACTTTCTATTTGGTTTATTTAGAACAAAAGTCCAGGCAATTGAGTGGAGAAATAGCTCAACTGGCTATTTCACTGAAAAAGATGTCTGTTCTAATCTCACTCTCCTGTGAGGTTTGGCCACTGACCACATAGAAGATTCCTTTATTTACTAGATGTTATGTAGAAATAAATGTGTTAGTATTTCAATTCCAGGGTAACTACCTAATTTGTGAATAAGATGATCACTATTTTAACTGACTGAGCCACTCAGGCATCCTAGATGATCACTATTTTAAACAACTTAACCTCCACTCTTATCTCAGATAAAGATAGCATAAATTAAATAACCATCTACTAACAAAGGATGATAACTATTTGTGAGCATATTTTTGTAACTATGTTATGTTCCAAAACAATGTTCACCCCAAGACAATATTATAGGAAACTATTAGGAAATCAATCCAAAAAGTTTATGGCTTCTGAGATCCTATTTTTAATTATCTTATTCTAACAATGGATTTTCACATGTTAATCACTTTTTTCCAATCTTTATTGAGGTATAAGTGACAAATAAAAATTGTATACATTTAAGGTGTACAATGTAATGACTGGATATACATGTACATATGTGAAATGATTACAATAAAAGTAAATAACACATCTATCATTTCACAAAGTTACCATATTTGTGTGTGAGAACACTTAAAATCTACTATCTTAGCAAATTAGCGGGTATACCATATAGTGTTAACTGTAGTCACCATGTTGTATATTATATCCCCAGAATTTATCTCACATCTGAAAGTTTGTACCCTTTGACCAATATTTCCCCATTTTCTCCACTCTCCAGCCCCTGGCAACTGCCATTCTACTCTCTGCTTCTAGAAAGAATATTGTGACCCATATTCATTTTAGATGGCCCAAACGAATATTTCATTGAAAATAATACTGATTTAGCCACAGGGGTCACACAAGAAAAACAAATAAGAGACATCCATGCTGGTAAAGAAGAAGTTAAACTGTCACTACTTGCAGATGACATGATACTTTATATAGAAAATCCCAAAAATTCTACCAGAAAAACTATTAGAACTGAAAAATTCAGCAAAGTCACAGAACACAACATAAATATACAGAAATCTGTTGCATTTTTACACATGAATAATGGAGTACCAGAAAGGGAATTTAAAACCAATACCATTTACAACTGCACCAAAAAAGAATAAAATACCGAGGAGTAAGTGTACCCGGAGGTGAAAGACTTATACTCTGAAAACTATGAAACGCTGATGAAAGAAGCTGAAGATGACAGACATGGAAAAATATCCCATGCTCATGGACTGGAAGAATTAATAATGTTAAAATGTACATATGACCTAAAGCAATCTATAGATTCAATGTCAATTCCTATCAAAATACCAACAGCATTTTTCACAGAACTAGAACAAAAAATCCTAAACTTGTATGAAACCACAGAAGGCTCTGAGTAGCCAGAGAAATCCTAGGAAAGAAGAACAAAGCTGGAGGTATCACAGCACCAGGTTTCAAGATACACTACAAAGCTGTAGTAAGCAAATCAGTGTGGTGCTCGTACAAAAACAAACACATCGATCAATGGGACAGTATAGAAAGCCCAGAAATAAACCCATGATTATACGGTCAATTAAACCATGACAAAGGAGGGGCACGGGGTGGCTCAGTTGGTTAAACAGCCGACTGGCTCAAGTCATGATCTCCCCATTTGTGAGTTCAAGTCCTGCATTGGACTCTGTGCTGGCAGCTTGAAGCCTGGAGCCTGCTTCGGATTCTGTGTCTTCTTCGCTCTGCCCCTTACCCGTTTGCTCTCTGTCTCTCTGTCTCTCAAAAATAAACATTAAAAAGAAAAAAAAAAACCTATGACAAAGGAGGCAAGAATATACAATGGGGCAAAGGTAATCTCTTCAATAAATAGGGCTGGGAAGACTGGACAACTATATGTAAAGAATGAAACAGGACCACTTCCTAAATACCATACACACAAAAAAACTCAAAATGAATTACAGACCTAAATGTGAGAACTGAAGCTATAAAAATCCTGAAAGAGAACAGAGGCAGTAATTTCTGACATCAGCCATGGCAACATTTTTTTAGATCTGTCTCCTAAGGCAAGGGAAACAAAAGCAAAATTAAGCTATCAGGACCACACCAAAATAAAAAGCTTTTGTACAGCAAAAGAAACCATCACCAAAACAAAAAGACAACGCACTGAATGGAAAAGATATTTGCAAATAACATATCCAGTATGGGGTTAATATCCACAATATACAAAGAACTTACACAACTTAACACCAAAAAGACAAACAATCTGATTAAAAAATGAGCAGAGAACCTGAATAGACATTTTTCCAAAGACATACATGTGGCCAACAGACACCTGAAAAGATGCTCAACATCACTAATCATCGGGGAACAAACCGATGGTTACCAGAGGGAAGAGGGGTGGGAGTTGGGCAAAATGGGTGAAGGGAAGAGGGACATACTGGCTTCTAGTTATGGAATGAATAAGTCATGGGAATAAAAAGGCACAACACAAGGAATATAGTCAATGCTATTATAAAAGTGATGTAATGTGACATATGGTAGCTATACTCATGTGAACACAGCATAATGTATAAACTTGTCAAATCACTAAGTTGTACACCTGAAACAAATATAACATTGTGTGCCAACTATACTCAATAAATAAATAACTGGAAAATAATCGTGACTTGTAATAGGTCATACTATCTTTTCCCTAAGATTGTCAAACAACAGTCAATCTGAGTCAAGTGCAAATAAAGGTATTATTTTTTCTTAATTTTGTTAATAAATCTTCATAAAGTCCTATTCCTACAGTGCCTGAGTGACTCAGTTAAGCGTCTGACTTGACTTCAGCTCAGGCCATGATCTCACAGTTTCTGAGATTGAGCCCTGTATGGGACTCCATGCTGAAAGCACAGAGCCTGCTTGGGATTTTCTCTCTCCCTCTCTGCCTCTCCCTGTCTCCTGTTCTCTCTCTCTCTCTCTCTCAAAATAAATAAATAAACTTAAAAAACAGTCTATTCCTGGGGTGCTTGGGTGGCTCAGTCGGTTAAGCGGCTGACTGCAGCTCAGGTCATGATCTCACAGTTCGTGGGTTCGAGCCCCACATCGGGCTTTGTGCCGACAGCTAGCTCAGAGCCTGGAGCCTGCTTCAGATTCTGTGTCTCCCTCTCTCTCTGACCCTCCCCTGCTCATGCTGTTTCTCTCAGAAATAAATAAAAACATTAAAAATTTATTTAAAAAGTCTATTCCCATGTGGTAAATTTAATGTAACCAAACTTGAAAATTTGCGTAAATTTGGCAAGAGTTCAAATTTGCATAAATAAATAAATTCAGCAAAATTGTGATGACGATTGATTGTAATGTACTTCACTATATGACTGCACTCAGTCATATAGCAAGAAGGTTGTGAGACCATGATGGCTCATTACTTTGTCTTAGCTAATTAGATGACAAGTACTTATAAAATTATATTTGTAAAATTCTCCTTGTTGGACTGGGATTGAGCAGTAATCACCATTTGGCTTCTGGCTCTATGTTTAATGCTGAGAGTCAAAAACAACTTAGCAAAGTGGGTAGGCATCAGATCTTTCAAAATAAAAAATTGTAACACATTTCCTTATAAGATCCTTAGGAGATCAAGTGTGCTTAGCAGGGTAAAGTAAGTGACTATGTTTAATTAGAATTTCTTTAGACAATCCAGGCCAGTGGTATAGACTACATGTCATCTCCTCAGTGCTTCGATGCTGCAATTAGAATCCATACTTTTGGGTGCAAGGATGCATTATAAAGTGTTCTCTGGTATATCATCTTTCTATAAAATAGATTAGATAACTAGCTTCAGGGGATTATTTTAGAGGATACAAAAGACTTCTTGAAGTTCTGATTTACCCACTGGATTTAATTTTAATTAACTTAATTAATTTAATTTTGTTTGTCAAACTTAAGGTTTTCCTTCCAATTAAAATCCGAGGCCATATAAGTTTGTGAGTTATGTAAAAGCATGTTTTCATAAAGCAGAATTTCAGGAGACTAGATGTAGGGATACAGTTGAGGATGGGGAAATAACAGAGACTGGGAAAACCAGGGTGCTCAAGACACAATTGGCCAGTTTCACATTCCCCCAGCGTCAGCCATCAAGTATTGAAGACAAGGCACACGTTTGGTGCTAGACTTTTTTGATGGGTTAATTGACCCCGAATAATTTTACCTAGCATTTATATATATACCTTCAATAAACCTGTACTGATCATGCATTCATCAATTACTATTTATTGAGCACTTTCTATGTACCTGACACTGTTCTAAGCATTGGTAAACACTTGAGAACAAAATATTCCAGTGGGGGGAGATGGACAAGAAAGGAAAGAATAAGCAATTAAATACTCTGTGAAGAAGTGTTGATGGGTAAAAGTGCTAATGAATGAAAATAAATTAGGAAAAACCTTAAGAGTAGAGTGATGTGAGTGGCTGTGAGAATAATTTTATTTAGGAAGATCAGGGAAGTCCTCTTCAAGTGCCTGTTGCCCTTGGAAGAGAGCCCTGAAGAAGTGAGGGAACCATATGTGGACAGGATGAAGGAGCATTATAAGTGGATGTCTGGATGGGGCTACATCTGGGGCATGGGGACCGCAGATGTAAAGTTCCTCAGCAAGAATGGGCTCCCTCTGTTCAGAGACCAGTCAGGTCAGATGGGGAGAGCTGGGTGAGCAGGGGTAGACCCTTTGGTCCTACTGGCCAAAGTAAGGGCTTTTGACAGTAAGCACCTGAAAGTAGTTCAACAGGCAATATCAAAACTGGAAGTAATCAACCAGATTGCTGGAATACTTCCAAGGCTGAATTCAATGGCTGCCCTTGAAAATGGTACAAATCTTGTACCAGAGAACCAAGAAGGAAAATGATTCCAGTGTGAGACACAATGAGGCCTTATCATTGGAAAGGTAATAGCACAAAGAGCAAAATTCTACTGTCTTCTTACTGAATTTAGGCATGCTCAGTTCTTCCATAATGCTTGTTTCCAAAATGCAGATCTGTTCCAACACAAATGATTGGTTGGGCAGCCTCTCAGCTTTCAGGAACTCCATCAGGGACAAGAAAGCACATCCAGCTGTCTTCTAGAACAGTGATTCCTGGCAGGATGGACTGAGAGGTGGGAGGCAGGGAGGAGGGCAAGA